AGGCAGAGCCTGTGCCAGCTACAGCCTCCTCCGAGCCACCGCGGGCGGGCGGGACCGGCCTCTCCTCCCGCCTCGCCCCCACCCCCACCCACCTCTATCCCAGTGTCTCCGTCTGAGGGTTTGTCCTGTTAATGCGGGATGAACGGTACGTATTCTCCACCCCCCTCGGTCTCCTTCACCGCCTCCCTCCCTCCCTCCCCAGACCCTGCTCGGTTCTTCCCCCTCCCCCGGGGCCGCTGAGATGCTTTAAGGGGAGGAGGAGAGGGAGGGAGGGAGTCAGGGGGAGGAAAGGAGGGTTGTGTTTTGTCTTAATGTCTGAAAGAGAACAACCTCCTTCTGGGTGTTGCTCTGGAGCCGATGGGTCGGGTTTCAAACCACGTTTTGTGATATCCCCCTCCTCCCTTCCCTCCTTCTCCCCCACCCCCTGCCGGTGTGCGTGGATCGCGGGTTTATGGAGATTAATGTTCAGGGGGAGGGGGGAGAAGAAGAGTGGGGGAAGACGAATAATAATAATCCTAATAACCTGTTGTCGTGTGTGGGGGGGTTGTTGCAGATCAGAAGAAGGAGGAGGAGGAGGAGGCGGCGGCGGCAGCAGCGGCGGCGGCGATGGCTACAGAAGGAGGGAAAACCTCTGAGCCAGAGAATAACAATAAAAAACCCAAAACCTCAGGCTCCCAGGTAAAAGAAAACATATAAAAAAATTCATCACAAAACGTTAGGGGAGAGAGGGAGTTATGCCCTAAGTGCCCAGGAGTAAAGAAAATAAAAATGTCTATCCACCCAAAGCATTTTTCTGAGAGTGAGAAACTTAAATTGTAAATTCATGAAGATGTCACAAATTTCAGGGTATGAGATTGTTTAAAATTACATCGGGAGCTCAGACTGTAAGAAAACGGTGTGTATTTTCCCAAGGGCAATTTGAGTTTAGGAAAATAACACTTTAGGAAAGTTTGTTAGAAATTTCATTTTACTTAAACTTTATATTACAGGATCTGCTTCCTTAATCATAAAGCTCTTACTCTCTTTTGTTCATATTTCTTTTTGATTTCTCCTGCTTCCTGAGTAAGTTCTCACATGTAGAGCTGTCAAAATAAATAAATAAATAATCCCCTCCCAACTACTGTCCTCCACTAAATCCACCCACTTTTTTCCCCCCCTTTCCTTTACCATCCCATTTTGGGTAGGACTCTCAGCCCTCTCCGCTGGCTTTACTGGCAGCTACTTGCAGCAAAATAGGGACTCCTGGTGAAAATCAAGCAACTGGACAGCAACAAATTATTATAGATCCAAGTCAAGGATTGGTGCAACTTCAGAATCAACCCCAACAGCTAGAACTGGTAACAACACAACTTGCTGGAAACGCTTGGCAACTTGTTGCCTCCACTCCTCCTGTTTCAAAAGAAAATAACGTTTCTCAACCAGCTTCTAGTTCATCTAGTTCTTCCAGCAGTAATAACGGGAGTGCATCTCCTACAAAAACGAAATCAGGTAATTCTTCCACCCCTGGCCAATTTCAAGTCATACAAGTACAAAATCCAAGTGGTAGTGTACAGTACCAAGTGATTCCACAACTTCAGACAGTGGAAGGTCAGCAAATTCAAATCAATCCAACTAGCAGTTCATCTCTACAGGATTTGCAGGGTCAAATTCAGCTAATTTCTGCAGGTAATAATCAAGCTATACTCACAGCTGCTAACAGGACAGCTTCTGGGAATATTCTTGCTCAAAACCTGGCAAATCAGACAGTTCCAGTCCAAATTAGACCTGGTGTTTCAATACCACTGCAATTACAGACCCTCCCTGGTACTCAGGCTCAAGTTGTAACAACCCTGCCAATTAGTATTGGAGGAGTGACTTTAGCTTTGCCAGTGATCAACAACGTAGCTGCTGGAGGAGGGACAGGACAGGTTGGCCAACCTGCTACTACTACTGATAGTGGGACTTCCAATGGGAATCAGTTAGTTTCCACACCTACCACCACCACCACTGCTTCTGCCAGTACTATGCCGGAATCTCCTTCCTCCTCCACTACCTGCACAACCACTGCTTCAACATCTCTGACAAGCAGTGACACATTAGTGAGCTCAGCAGATACGGGCCAGTATGCAAGCACATCAGCCAGTAGTTCTGAACGCACCATTGAAGAATCTCAAACACCTGCTGCTACTGAGTCTGAAGCTCAGAGTTCCAGTCAGCTTCAGCCTAATGGAATACAGAATGCACAGGATCAATCAAATTCTCTTCAGCAGGTGCAGATAGTAGGCCAACCTATCTTACAACAGATCCAGATCCAACAGCCTCAGCAACAGATTATTCAGGCTATTCCACCACAGTCATTTCAACTCCAGTCAGGGCAGACAATTCAGACCATCCAACAGCAGCCTTTGCAGAACGTTCAACTTCAAGCAGTAAATCCGACTCAGGTGCTTATCAGGGCTCCAACTTTAACACCTTCAGGGCAAATCAGTTGGCAAACTGTACAGGTTCAGAATATTCAGAGTCTTTCAAATTTGCAAGTTCAGAATGCTGGGTTATCCCAACAATTAACCATCACCCCAGTGTCTTCAAGTGGTGGCACAACTCTTGCTCAGATTGCTCCTGTGGCTGTTGCCGGTGCCCCAATAACTTTGAATACTGCTCAGCTTGCATCAGTGCCTAACCTTCAGACAGTGAGTGTTGCCAATCTGGGTGCTGCAGGCGTTCAAGTGCAGGGAGTTCCAGTTACAATCACTAGTGTTGCAGGTAAGTAACATCTTTTCTCTTTAAGTGTCTTTTGAATAGTAACAATCAATTATTGCTTTTCCTTGCTAACTCTTAGATTTGACATGATCTCTGAAGTAAACAGATAGTCAAAAGGAATAAAAAATAAACAGGAATATTATACTAACTACCATAACTCTGTAGTAATCGGTGTGACCTGTTCACTTTTGCAGGTTTTAGTATTAGGTTTTGTGTGTTAAATTCGTAAGCTAAACAGTTTCAAAAAATTATTCTTTCGTGGAAGAAAACTTTGATTAGAATCATAATTGCCTTGTATAATTTAGAGATCATATATGAGTACAATTGAACTTTTCAGGAAGGGTTAAGTCAAACTCAACCCTAGTCACAATGTTTATATCTTTGAGGGAAAGTAGGTTTAAACTGAATTGGTATGTAGTTGTGAGTTTGTTGAAGTTTTAATTCTATTGTATAATAAGGCTAACCTTTTTAAAATTGGAAATTATTTCTCAAGCTTCAGCATCTTGTCACCCATATTTTTATGTTTTATTACACTGGGTAGTTTTAAAGTAGATATTGATGCAGTTAGGAGATAAAATTTTAGGTTGCAAATTGATTAACTTTTATGTCTACTTTTCTGCTAAAATCAGGATTTGCTTAGGATTTTGAATTAATAGTCCTTCATTTTATAAAATTATATTTAAGTAAATTTTACAGTCGTTATGTTATTTACAGATGTTTAGTGTAAGGTTAATGGAAAGCACTTAAAAATTTGAATTATTTTTTCACTAATTTGAATTAATTGTGGTAAGGTTATTTTTAAATCAATTATAAACACAGTTATTTGTTATGAATATAAACAGATTCTTCTAAAGTACTTGGAAAAGTAGATTAAACTACTATTAAGTAGTTTAATCTTTTTTGGACCAATCTTATTGTATCTAATACCTTTTGTTTTCTAGCAATTAAACGCTTTTTATTGATTCTAATTTGGTGGAAACCTAGTTGCGGTTTTAGTGCCTTTGATGCTTTCAGGCCTTGGTAGTTAAATATTTCTATTTTGATAATCTGAAATAAATAAGCTTATCACTTTGGAACAATCTTTCTTGAAACAAGTTGTAGAAAAATTATGCTAGGGTTCTTTTACAGTTAATACCTAAAGTAGATGTATATATGTAAAATTGGAAATTTCTAGTTAGAGCCTTCTAATTCAGGAGAACTGAGGTGACATTTTATTTTCTAGATACCTGCTACTGTCCAATAGAACTTTCTGTGATGTTGGAAATGTTCTCTATCTGTCCTATCCGATCCACTAGCTACGTGTGGCTACTGAACAGTTAAAATGTGGCTTGTGCAACTGAGAAACTGAATTTTAAATTTTATTTCATTTTAGTTTAAGTAGCTACCTACATATGGCTAGTGGCTCCCGTATTGACAGCAGTTTAGTCAGTGTTTTGTGTGTGGTACTTTTTCCCCTAAAAGTATTACAGCACAGTTATGTAAGTGTTTTTCTGGATTACAGTCCTTAACTTGCTTTGTTTGTACTCTTTTTCTAAACATTGACAACGAGTATTTCAGAAAAAATGTCTGGTTTTGGTGGCTCGAATGACAGTTTGCATTGTTAAAACAGAAATTATTTCACTTACATTTCATTTTTCCTATTATGTATTAGTTAGTGAATTGTGTAATTTATAATTAAGAGAATTGAGTAATTTATAATTTAGGTTAGAAATAGTTCTTTTGCTCTCTAATTGATATCTTTTACAATCCAGAGGTTTTCTCTTACCCATTGTGAGGGTAAGCCAATGTTCTGACCACCCAACTCACATTCATTTGAATGTTAACATTATAAAAACAGGATCCAGCTTCTGGAACTATAATTTTTGGTGTGTGAAGTCGAGTGATTTGCCATTCTAACAGCCTTTTCAGGTGATTCTAAAACTTACTGAAGTTTGAGAATTAAGGGTCTAGTCATCAGCAATGAACTGGAGGCAGAATATGGAAGCAGGTGGGTATTGAGCTAGTTCTTATGTATCTCAGAGAATGGATTTTGGTGGCAAGTACAACTTTGTAGTTTTTATTCCACTGAGGTGGCTACTATGTGCTGAACACTTCCAATAGGTGTGGTTATTCCTTCATTTCTAGGGGTAGTTTTTTACTTAAAGAGTTTGTATGATTTGGGGGGCTCCACTTAAGTGCATGAGAAATTCGAAGTTTGCATAGTTGGATTTTTTTTTTGCCTGAAACCAAAGATTTAATATTTTGTTGATGTTGAAGAGTTAATATTTGAAGAGATATGTTCAATCATTTAAAAAAGACTCTGTTACAAAGACCAGAAATGTATCCTGATTTCTAAGGTCAATGCAGTTAATCTAGGCCTAGTTATTTGTAGATTTTACCCCATTGCCTAGCTTAGTAGGTGCTTGACAAATGCTTTTTGAATTAAGGTATAGAAAGTGATGGAGAAAATAGCAGTTTGGAATTGGTAGCAGTGCCCTGTGAGATATCCCTAATGAGATAGTTCTGTTTTTATTAATTTTTTTGGCACTGCATTTTTAAAAATTAAGAGTGGGGCATACATACCAGGTACTTGATTATATTGTAGATGAGCAATAGTGCCTGTATATCCTTTTTATAAATAATCCCTGAGAGTTCAAATCTTTTACTTTGTGTCCCCATGCACTTGTAAGTACATCCTTGGTAATTTCATGTTTCCCCCTCCCTGGGAGAATGATATTTAATTTATGTGAAAAAAATTTGCTCTGGGGCCGGCCCGGTGGCGCATTGGAGAGTGCGCTGCTTGGGAGTGTAGTGGTGCTCCCGCCGAGGGTTCGGATCCCATGTGGAGACCGGTTCCCGCTCACTGGCTGAGCGCGGTGCGGGCGCAACACCGAGGGTTGCGATCCCATTGCCGGTCCCCGGTATGGGTGCGACACCGAGGGTTGCGATCCCGTTACCGGTCAGTAAGAAAGACAAAAAGAAAAAAAAAAATTTGCTCTAAATATTTGCAAGTGTTACCAAGCCTTGAAACAATTATTAGTCAGCTTTGACAGAATGTAATGGTAGCTCAGGGATAAAGGGCTAAAACTTCTCTACCATCCATCATCATTTTACTCTTTGATGGGGACAGAGAAATTAAAAAAAAAAAAATACTACAAGGCAAATCAAGTGAAACCAGTTCTTGAAGCTGGAGAGCATCATACTTTATGAAATTAGCATGTCAGTGACAACCTAGAGTGTTGATAATGTATTCAGTGTAATGTTTCTGTGCTTTGGTCTTAGCTGAAAATCCTGAGTTCCAGGCTGAACAGTTAGCATTTAATTATGTAGTTAGAATTGTTGTAGGAACTAAATACATTAACCCTTCACATTCTTTTTTGTTTGTTTAGCTATTGGGATTCTGAGTTTGATTTTGACTGAAGGAAATGCAGAAACCCTAAGTTGTATTTCTTTTTTTTTTTTTTCCTTTTTGTCTTTTTTCGTGACTGGCAACGGATTGCAACCCTCAGTGTCGTGCCCGTACCGGACCGGGACCGGCAACGGGATCACAACCCTCGGTGTTGCTCCCGCACCTCGCTCAGCCAGTGAGCGGCCGGTCTGTACGTGGGATCCGAACCCTCGTCGGGAGCGCCGCTGCACTCCCAAACGGCGCACTGTAGCAGTGCACCACCAGGCCAGCCCCCTAAGTTGTATTTCTGACTTAAGAATCTCCCTTATTTTAACTAAGTGGGAAGAGTAGAAGGTGTTTTGCTCAGAAATAACTACCTGTTTTCACAGTGTCCTCTGGTAGCCAAAAATCCCAAAATAAAGTGAATTTCAGGAGTTACACTTCCTTAAAGAACTTAAAGTTTGTAGGGACCATTGGTATCTAAATCTGTGATTAATTTGCAGTGGCCAGCAATTTGAGTTATTTGGGGATATAATCATCACATATGTTTGATGAATGTTTATTTCGCTGTCAATTTTAGTGGAAAGTAACATTTTTATGCTAGTCCTCCCAGAAAGGAAGTTCAAACTTGCAGATAAAGATGTTTCTGGCTCTTCAGGAACTTGACTTTCTTACCTAATTCCTTTATTTCTCCAAGGAATTAAAGTGTGAAGCCTGGGGATATAGTATTAAACCAGGAAAAAATGGGAACCAAAGAAAATATTTGAAATTTGTTTAACTTAAAAACCTAATTTAATCCAGTAGAATCAATCTCTTACAAAATTAGCACCTAGCTTTTTTTTCAGAGCTACTAAATGTAGAAAATTGGCTTGAAGTTTAATACAAATAAAGTTTTCCTTTACCTTATTTGTTCTGTTAATCTGGATACCCCAGATAGGCATCTTAAAATAACATGTCTGTGTGTATACATATATTCCTGTGTTTGGTCGTTTCTTTTTTCATGGAAGTCAGGTTTACTCCTGTAATTTTATTTTTCTAAAACCTCCTAATACTGTTTGTTGTAGATTGGAGTTCATTGTGAGGAACTTACATCTTGTACCCTATACAAATTATCTAGGTTTCTGAACTACCAAGTTGGTTTTACCTATTAGATGATTTTTTCATGAAAGATGAAAAGTGATCAGTGTTTAACCACATCAGTTTTTAGAAAGGGTATCTTTTGAGAAGGATTTTAGGATAGAGAGAGGAACAAGGGAAAATAATGCTTTAATCATCTCAAATTCTAAGGCAGGGAATACATGACAATTAACACTTAAGGAGTATTGGGGCAGGCATAAAAGCAGGTAGAAGAAAATAGAAAAGGAAGCTTGATCAAGAAGGAAGATAGGGAAAGATGCTATGCGTAGATCTTGTAGAAATGACATAGGTTTTACAAAATGATAGAATTTTAGTTGGAAAGGATCTTGGAGATTATGGCTCAGCAGTTTAACCTTTTGATTGTCTGTTTATAAAGGCATTTTGTGTTTTTACTGTTATTAGTGAAAGAAATATGGGTCAGAGGTTCCACAGTGCTACATTCGATACTTGGGGTTGACACATTGAGGATTGACAGTAAAAGGCACACATACTCATATGTGCTCTTCT